ACTGGCATTCGCCACATCTGAATCAAATCTGTTTCCAGAGCCCTGTTAAACAAAAAAAGTATCTTAGAAAACTGAAGTTACACAGTTAGAAAACTGAAAAAAAAACTTAGTTTTCTGCAATGACATCCTTAATTGAACTGTTAATCTGCCTTTGTATTTCATTAGTCCTATTAAAATTTCTGAAGGACTTCTTGGGTTCTTTTTCAGAATCATGGTTTCAATAAATCTAAAAAAGAAATAATGATTATGGAATCTAATATAAACATTAAACAATTCCAGGTTAATCAATCTAAGTGAATCAAACTGAGTGAAATTATGAAAAGCTATACAGTCTCACTTCTTCATTAAGGACAGGTTTATTACTATACTTTAATAGTATCATAGAACACATTCTCCTCTGCATACTGGAAACATCTTCTTGGTCTTTGCAGTTCATCTACGCTACGTCCTCTTCCCTCACATGATGTGTACTGTCAGCAAATCTGCTTCCTGGAAGACCACCACGATACACATCATCTTGCACATCTGAACACACCCTCTCCTGTAATTTATCTCTGAGTAGCGTTCTTCTTGACGCTCACCACTATAAGACTTTGCTGGAATGGTTCTGTCTATTTGGTGTCTTCCACTACTGTCTTCTTCTAGAAAAGACCTTACACTAATGTCTCCTTTCAAATAAGGTCTTTCAGTGCGGTTGTCATCTTCAAAAGATCTTTGTCTGCCATCTTGATAGTATGTCATTTCACATCTGTCATCCTCTGGGTAGGACTGTCCATGAGCTGCATTATCTCTAGATGATCTTTCACACAGGTCATCCTCATGATAACAACATGGTTTTCCAAGAGCATCATTCTTCAAATATGATTGTTTGTAACCATCTTCAGCCAAGGGAGATGGCCCACTTCTGTCTCGCCCAGAGTAGGACCTTTCATGAGTATAGGAATGAGAGTCTTCTTCTCTTCCATGGCCTGTAGTGGAATTAAATTAAATATCAACAAACTACCATTTCAGGACTTCTACAGGTGAACACATGAAGTGGGGGAAAAAAACAAAACAAAGTCAACCTTTGCTCTGTATGACTGAATGGAACTGCAAGGTCTAAACACTGATAGTGAACGGTCTTGGTAAAATAGGCTGTGGAGAGACTGTAATGTCTTACCCATATACATCTCCACCTGGTTTTGCACAGTGTAGCACAATTAGTAAAGCTGCTATAACAGTTTCTCAGCATTTTTGCTTGGTACTTGGACATACAGCGTGTTGTTTTGAATTAATCAGCTTAATTGGAAATTGTCCACAGACAAAGCAGGGGTTGTGCTTCACATGCAGAGTGAACATCCATGTCACAGCATGTCAATCAGACCAAGTGTTTTTGTGTGAGCATATAAATCGTAAGCTTTGGCTGTACACAATGGGCAATTCAGATGTGCACCGAGTTGTTTTTAAAGAACAAGATTTCTAAAACTGCCCAGTATATGTCTGGCCTAAAGGTATTTTAATTATAGCAGAGGTCGGCTTACGCCAGCAGCATACTTCACATTTGGATTTCACTTGACTGCATGAGAAACAAAGGGCCTCACTTATAAAAGATTTACATGCGCAGATTTCATTGTAAAATGGTCGAACATGAAAATTCACATTTAAGTAATGATTTATAAAACAAGAGTTTGACATGAAAGTGCATAGACTGACGCATGTTTCCAACCTGATTGACGGGTTTTTAATGACAGGTTGTGGCAGGATTAGTTAAACAAAGAAGCAAAACAAATTACAACTACCTTCACCCATCCACTAGATTTACCTCAAGAGAAATCTTGTCATCTACACTATTACAATCATGCATTCATTCAGTTGAAAAATTAATTAGACAACTTGAAAAATGAAAAAGCCACTCATAGTTGATAGTTAACATATCTTACCATCTGATAGTCTACTTCATATCACATACTACATGCAGTGGGGTCTCTCACAGAAGATTTAAAAAGTCAACCAACAAACAACATGTATGGCAATAATAGACTTATTACTGATGGAACTGACTTTACAAACTTTGCTTTTCTCATGTGGTAACCTGCACTTTTCTTACAGCGATGTAGGTCTATATTCTTGTTGGATCATTATAAGTTAGATAATTGAAATCAAGTCAGGATAAATAGCTAAACTGAGACAGTAGCACTCAGCTATATCTGGGCCTGCCAGTGTGCCGAGAGTGCGCAATCCGTGAATGAGTGATTTTTATAGATACAATAAGCATACTGTCTCCTTTGCAAATTATGCAAACACTTACAGGCAAACAAGACTACTGCAAATAGACGGCTCTGCAAATACTATTCATTTATTTGTTTATTAACAAGTTAATAAACTAGTGGGCTTCCATTTTGAGTATACGCCTACCCAGCACTGCTGAAAGCCACCTCTCAAGACCTGTCTGATTTAATACATGCACTTCTAGTATAGAATAGTATCTGTTCTTATACACTTACGTTATGGTATTTTTTTTTTTTTTACTGAATAACTAATAACATAAACCATTTTATGAAGCCCGTTAAACCAGTGAGCAATGGTTATGTAGAACAGAACCTGCTGCATTATACTCTTTTCTCTCCTTTTGAGCATTGATTGCTAAAAACATTCATAGGCAGTTAAATTAGTTAAAATATGGGCGGAGTTAGAAAGCTAATTTCTACGACCATTTGTGACTTATAAATAAACTATATGTCCAAAAGTTTGTGAACACCCTTATTCATGAATTTAGCTGCATTAAGGTAAACTCACTGCTGACACAGGAGTTCAAATGCACACACAGCTTGTATAGTCTCCATAGAAAAGCACTGACAATAGAACAGGATGCTCTGGAGCAGCGGCACATGAGCCTAAGGTCACCATTTCCAATGCCAAGCGTGGACTAGAGGGGTTCGAGGCCACCCAGCATTAAAGCTGCATGGGAAAACAGTGATGTTTATGTGTATGATATAACAAAATCTCAAAGTTTCTGTAGTGCTTCCTGGCAGGACATATCAGACAGAATTCCAAGATTCTTGTTAACACACTACCAGACAGGAAGGGAGTCATTCAGCAGGATCCCAGACCACAGCCCTGTCCCAAATGGTGCACTCACATTCCTGTAGGCCTCATCTGCACATGGCTGTAGGGTCTCCCATTTCTTATTTTGTTGTTCAAAGTAGTGGTCACAAGCACCCTTTATGTACTCTTTGCTGAGGACTACATCAATGTGAATCAGCAGTGGCCTCTCACCCATATGTTCTTGAGACACAGGAGAGGAGCAGTCCGAGTGGAGGGGTTAGTTTACAGCTGTCTAACCAACAAAGCAGAGAAGCTATTTAGATATGACTTTAAATGTTTTTTTCGCTATTCCAAATACAGACTACAGCCACCTCCTGGTATGAACAGTTAATTCCTTTCTCGTGGGTGCAGAATCTATGTGCACTTACCTGTGGGAAAGCACAGCTTTTCACAACAGATGTCGACAGAAGACAATCAGTTGTCCTCGACTGGTACTAGTTTTTTGACATCAGCCTGGTGTGTAACTAGTTTTTGGCAATTATACAGAATACATCGTAGAATCCATATTTCATTCCTCACTCAACATGCGAGAAGTTTAAAAAAGCTGACTTTTATTTAGTGTAGTGAGGAAACTCCTCAGAGGACAAAGAAGAAGCAGGTGGAACTAAAGTCTATAGCCTGGATAATATCCAAACTGGACTTATGAGCAATCTTCCAGCAGAGAAGGCAATGGCAAATTAGCCATTATTTTCAAATGAGAAGTACAGTGGCATACATAACACTGCAGGCCACCTGAACACTATTGAAGAGGCAGGCCTAGAGACTTTATATGATGGGGGAGATCCATATATCAGCACCTACGTCGTTCAAATCTTGTGAAACGATCAGAGAAATACAATTCATTCTCTTAAAATCATTTTAAGATTAATGTTGTACTCATAATGGGTAGAAGACCTTCCCAGATGATGTCAAATATCAGGCCTCTAAAAATCTGGACAATCCAAATGGACAGGGAGATAAGGATCACGCTGCATATAAAGTGGTGTATATTCATATAATTTGGTTAAAATGCATCACATCACAATAACTGACAAACAGCCCAGTGCTCAATGATGGAATTACATATATAGTCAGATATATTTAAATTCCACAATTAAGATTAACTTTCTTTGTGAATCTTTGCAATTAATTGTATATGTTTTAACATGAACATGATGCATGCTGAAAGTGTTCAGCTTATTCAGCTACACTGGTTACTTTGGAGATGTATGGATCCATAAATATACAAATGTACTTACTTTAAAATGTTTTGGAGTGGTATAGGCAGTTTCACTTTTTAGTTATCTGTTACAAATCTGAAAATGAAAATATCAATAAATCGTTGTCCATTCTGTCTGAATCATACAGCACTGTTCAAGCTTATATGGAATCGGGCGAGCAAAGTTATTTGGCTGTTAGTTCTGAGTATGGAAATCTTAAGATGCTTTATTAGCCAATACTGAAGCTGAATATTTCAAAGATTTGCTGTGCAGTCGAAGATGGTGTTTGCCTGGTTGCCCTCGTAAACAGTAAGAAAGCCACTGCCTACCTGCTAACAAATTATTAGCAAGTTGCTAGGAGAGACCTAACGTTAAATATGAAGTGTCATCATGGACTGTTAGGCCGTGTGATTAAAGTGACTGCACCTAAAAACAAATTTCACTTGTGGTGTGGATGTGCGCAAGCATATGGCGAATTTTAATTTTTATAAATTATTTGTTCTAACATGTTTGGGAGTGTTCTTACTTCCTTTGACTACCTACAACTGGTGGATTGTCATGTTGTATGCATCAATATGCTTTTCCTACCAATTCATTTGAGAATTTCTAGTTTTTGTTGCACATACTGAAATACTCTTGCATGAAGTCAAAGCAGATATAAATGATGAATGTTTTGAGTGTGAAGTGAGAATAACAGTTCAAATATTCATCACCAAGTGTCAGTAATCCTGTATTTTAACCAAAACAAGCACTGAATACACCCCAGCCAGGGAAGACTTCACAGATGAAGGGTAGTTAACATAAAAACAGTGCTCTGGACATTAAGAAATTACACACAATTAAAAAAAAAAAATTTATATTTTTGTTGACACTTTCATTCGATTCCTTTTAAGAATAAGAAGAATAATAACAACTACACACATATCTTCACATAATTTAGGAAACGTTTCAATTTGATTTACGTGCCATAAGCTCTAGGAGAGTGACAGCAAGCTTTTCGAGACTGGAGGGGGGTGCCACTTCCTGAGGCGGAGAAGATGAAGGATGAAACGGATCATAGGGTTCTGCACCAGAATCATAGTCACGCTGATAACGTGGCCTTTGCGCTTGGCTCGCGCCATACACCTTTTCTTCCTCTCTTAGAGGTCTGGACTTCCAAAGGCTCTCTGAAAAGAAGAGAAGACTGAAATGAAAATGATGCAGTAATATGATTTGCAGTAACTTGATCGCCTTTTTTGGGACATATGAAAAATCTGTGAAAAATAAAGTCCCAACAGACATCTTGAAGACACAGAATTGCTCATCAGCCTACCTCTTGTATCTCTTCCATCATCATTATCATAACGTGGATAGTAATCCTTGAGATCTTCAGACCGTTCAGCTGATCCCCTTCTTTTAGGGTCCCATTCAAATTCACGCTGACTGTCAAGGCTGCCCTGAGAGTGTCTGAAGTCACCCTCACTATACCTTCCCTCTGCTCCTGCTCTTCTTCTTTCATAGTCTTCATAACCTATAGATTTGTCAGAACCCCTGGTATGTCTAATGTTTTGAAAGCTTCTGGGTTCTTCATTAACATGCCCTGCTCTGGGGTTCTCATCAAAACGTCTGGCCTGCTGGAAACCTGAAGGATCATCTTCAAAACGTCCTCCATGTTGAAAACCTCTAGGCTTGTCCTTAAATTCTTTTGCCTGTTGGAAACCGGCAGGACCATCTTCAAAACATCTTCCATGTTGATAATCTCTGGAGTTGTTCTGAAATCCTCTTGACTGCTGGAAACTGGTACGATCATATTCAAATTGTCTTGATTCTTGAAAATCTCTTGGGAGATTTTCATATCTTGCAGACTCCTGGTAAGAGTCTTTTTCATATCCCTTCATGTCCTCAATGTGTCTGTGGTCTTCAAAATATCTTTTGTTTTCTAAATTTCTGGAATTGTCCTCAAACCGCCGGTTCTCTTGCAGACTTGTGGGATCAGTTGTGAAAGTTCTTGCTTCTTGAAAATCTCTAGGGCCACGCTCATATTTAGTGGTCTCCTGAAATCCATGCACATCAAGACGTCTTTCCATCTGCATGTCCCCACGCTGATCTACCCACCTATGAAAATCCTAGAAATAAAAATAAAAAAATATATATATAATTCTCATTTACACAACTGTGTGCACTAATGAGTACATCCAAAACATTTTCCATATTTGGACTGCTATTCATCACATGATGTCCTAAATGGAACTGTTAATATAATCTGTATAATCTGTATCGTATTTCATTAGTCCTGTTAAAATTTTCAAATGGTCTCACTTGAGATTTTGTGGGAACTGCTCTTCCTGGGTTTTTCGGAACCATGGTTTCAATAAACCTATAAAAAGAACAATTATTAGGAAATCTAATATAAACATTAGTTTGAACAAATGCAGGTTAATCAAAAAAAAATAGTGAAGTGCCTTAAAATGATTAAAAGCCATACAGTCTCACTTTTTTATGAAACGCCAGTTAGTTACTATAGGCTTAATGGTATCACAAAACACCAACCATCCTGGGAAAATGAACCTCACCTCTTCTGTGCAAGTGCTATTTCTAATGGTGTGGCATCAGAGAACCTACTCTTCCTTTTCCTTTTAGCAGGGGGATGTTCCTGAGCATAGTCTTCCAAACCATCTCTGTGTCTTTGGGTATAGCCTTGCACCTCAAAGGACCCAGCCCTTGCTGTATTTTCTACATTTGGAACATGTTCCCTTTCCTCCTCTGCATACTGGAAGCTTCTTCTTGGTCTCTGCAGTTCATCTATGCTACGTCCTCTTCCCTCACATGACGTGTACATCCGATCTTGAATCTGCCTGTCCTGCCTGTAGTCTGTATCTTCTAGGTGTCGAGCTGAACCACTCATCTCTGTGTCAGCAAATCTGCTTCCTGGAAGACCACCACGATACACATCATCTTGCACATCTGAACTTGAATTCCACCCTCTTCTGCGATTTATATCTGGGTAGCATTCATCTTGCCGCCCACCACTATAAGACTTTGCTGGAATAGTTCTGTCAATTTGGTGTCTTCCACTACTGTCTTCTTCTAGAAAAGACCTTACACTAATGTCTCCTTTCAAATAAGGTCTTTCAGTGCGGTTGTCATCTTCATAAGATCTTTGTCTGCCATCTTGATAGTATGTCATTTCACATCTGTCATCCTCTGGGTAGGACTGTCCATGAGCTGCATTATCTCTAGATGATCTTCCATACAGGTCATCCTCATGATAACGAGATGGCTTTCCAAGAGCATCATCCTTCAAATACGATCGTTTGTAACCATCTTCAGCCAAGGGAGATGGCCCACTTCTGTCTCGCCCAGAGTAGGACCTTTCATGAGTATAGGAATGAGAGTCTTCTTCTCTTCCATGGCCTGTAGTGGAATAAAAATTACATGTCAAACTACCTTTTGAGGACTTCAGGAAAAAACAAAAAAAAAAAAAAAACACAACAAGTAAAGTAAGGTAAAGGCAAAAATACACTGTGCAAAATTTCATGACCAGGCTGAATTTCAGCTTCATTGGCCATCGTGAACAAACGAGGTGGGGGAAAAAATAAACCGACCTTGCTATCTGGGTTTAGTTTCAGTGCTTACTGTGGCACATGTTAGTAAAGCTGCTGTAGCACAGTTTCTCAGCATTTTTGTTCTGTACTTGGATGCACAGCATGTTGTTTTGAATTAAACAGCGTTAAAAACCTCCACAGACAAAGCAGTTTGTAGGGGTTGTGTTCCACATGCAGTGAGAGCACTCAAGTAGCAGCATTTCACTCAGACCACTTCCCTTAGATCACATCAGTTTTTATAAATCGTGGGGTTTGGTTGTACACAATGGGCAATTCAAATGTACAGTGTGAGTTGTCATCAAAGAACAAGATTTCCAAACACCGTATATGGCTGGCCTAAAGATATTTTAATCATAGCAGAGAATGGCTTACACCAGCAGCATACTTCAAACAAAAAACAGCGGCAGCATACTTCAGAAAACAAAAAATCCTAATCACCATGAGTTCTTTTCAAGTATATTTACTAGAACTACGAGAGCTTTTATTTAGTTCTTTCGTCTTTTGAAACATACTGCCAGTTTTAGAATACACTCCTCACCTTGATAATCCTTTTTCTGCCTTTGGCCCTCGTCTGGCCGGTTGAGTGCCTTAAATGAAAAACAGACCACTTTCAGGCACACTTTTTGTACATATAGAGAATGTTTACACCTTGCATGAACATCTGCTTTCGGTGTTCGGATCCCATCACATTCAGTGCACACTTGACTGCATGCAAAACCAGGAGCTTAATTTATAAAAGATAAGGTTTTATATAAAATAAAACAAATATATAAGATTTTCCTGGTCTTCCAGATATTGCCTTTACTTCCACAGTTCCCCTTAACTGCCATTTCCTAATTGCACTTTGGACAGTTAATATCGAGTCCTGGAACCACTTTGATATCTTTTTATAGCCTTCCCTTGCTTTGTAGGCGTTGATTAGCTTCATTTTCCGATGTTCAGGCAGCTGCTTAGAGGAGCCCACGGTTGTTGAGTGCACAATGTTTGAGTCAAAGAATTTAATACACTCTGGAAATGTCTTTAGCTGACGAGTCAATTAGGGCCTAAAGAGTTCATTTCAAGACTTTACATGTGGAAGGGTTTCCAAACACACTATTTTATTTATCAATTTAAGTTAATCAAACGTAAGTAACTGTGCATTAATATTTACAGAAAATGTCTAATAGTTTGTTGCAGGTCTGGCACAATACAATACACTTAATGTAAAATATTCACACAATAACATCACATTTTATACTATTTTTGCAGTCAGTCATCTACTCAAGTGTAATGACTTGACCAAAGAGTAAGATTACTGACCAACATGTTCACCCTTCACTTTAATCAGCACACAAAAATAAAAGGGCAGGAAAAAACTGACATACCACTGGAGATCCCCATCCTTCTTGCTTTTCCACAAGTGCAGCCTTAGCCTTCGCAACAAGACCTGGTTGTTTCTGTGAACTTTTGCTGTTTTTCTGCCACGTCACCAAGTCTGGCCTCTTCAATTGCTGTGCACAGTTGTTAAGAGACCTGTTACTTTGAGTAATCAAATTGAAATATATACTTCCAAAATAAAAATGAAGCTGTATGCTAAGGCTGACTATTTTGTGATCATTTCTTTTGCAATGCATCTTAATATTTCACAATCAAATAACTGCAGAAAAAAGTACTTCAATCTTACCAGGTACTTCTGACGGTGCTTGCGGCTTACAACATGGCATACCATTGTACACATGTCCATCACTACTGCACACATTTTACACCTGTACCTCAACTGGACTTTGCCATCATCTGTGAAAGCATCTTCCTCTTGCACCAAAGCACCAAGTCCTGGAAAGGAAAAAAATATGGCAGGAACAGAAAAGAAAAAGCCCTTCATAAAATACTGGCTACTATAGAGTTTGCTAATGACATTAAGGTCACTGGACAAAGAAATTAGTTGCATGCATTTTTTTTTCCCTTAATACTTGGTTATGTGTCCCCTGCCTTAATAAAATCAATCCTGTCGAGTAAGGATTACACCAGTCTCTTAAGGTAGTTTCTTTCCATTCCATTCTAGCCCACTCTTCCACAAACTGGGTGCAGATTTCACCTGTCCTAGTGATCCATCATGTTTGTTGAACCAGTTACATAGAGGCACCCTACAGTTGTCATCCTGGAGTGTAGGAGTGTCAACGTTTGGTTCTCCTTGGACATTAAGCACAAAGTCAGTGGTAGAGTGAGCTGAAATAGACAAGAACTGCACTCTTAAAAAAAAAAAAGATGGTTCTTCAAGGATTTTTAGTTACAAAAATGTTCATAGTTCTATATAGAACCCTCAAAAAACCCTTTGTATGATTAAAGGGTTCTTGACATCATGAAAGTGTACTTCAGTTTGATGGAGAATGTGCTGTATATGCTTCTATAACATTTTTGAAAATAATTCTATATAGCAACCAAAAGGGTTCTTCTATTGTTATGATGTATGATGAGCTTGAAACAATAAACAAACCCTTTTGCGCGCTATATAGAACACCTTTTCAAAAAGATTCATGGTTCTATATTATAACCATTTTTTTTTACTAAACAACCCTTGAAGAACCATCTTTTTAAAAAAGTGTGTCTCAAGAGACTGATGTCATCCTCACCTGGCAGACCTGGTGCTTTTATTAAGGCATTTGGATGCTTAACCAAGTATTAGAGAAGAAATGATGCTTGTGACAAATTTTTTGGGAGACTATATTTTTAATATTAAAATTGTCACTTTTAAATTACAAAACACACAAAGTATCACTACATTTCATAGAGTTGCCTTACCAATAATGGGCTCATCAAGGTTGAGGTATTTCAAGTATTGTTTGATATCGGTCCATTCCGGCAGTGGGAGTGGCATAGGGATGAGGCCTATTGAATTGAGACAAAACAGTCAGCTTCACTCTGTAGGAAAATGTTTACACATCTCCAGAAGAATGAACAAATTTCACATTTCAATTTTCCATCATCAATCCTAGCAAACACATCTATTCTAACAGTTACAACTCTAATATTCAACCATTTAGGTAGCACGTGAAACTAAAACACAACACGTGCACACAATTTGCAATGTTCCAATGGTATCCTGGTTTCAATTTTGAAGAGAGGAAAAGAAAATCTCTGTGTCCATTTGACCAATAATAAGAACAACACTGTAATGACTGCAAGAAAACAGTCTGCATGAGAAAACAGTCATGTTTATGTGCATGACATAACTGAATCTCAATGTCTCTGCAGCACTTCCCAGACAGAAGTTATCAGACAGACTTCTTCCAAGATCCTTGTTAATGCACTGGTATGGAGTCATTCAGCAGGATCGCAGACCACAGCCAGGCCCCAAAAAAAATGCACTTACAGTCCTGTAGTCATCACCTGGTGCAGGATCCTAGACCACAGCCCTGCCCCAAACAGTGCACTTACAGTCCTGTAGTCCTCATTTGCACATGGTTGTAAGGCGTCCCATTTCTTGTTTTGCTGTTCAAAGCGGTGTTCAAAGGCACTCCTTATGTACCATTTGCTGAGGACCGTATCATTGTGAATCAACAGTGGCCTCTTACCCAAATTTCCTTGTGATACAGAAGAGGAGCAGTCAGAAAGGAGGGGGTAGTTTACAGCTGTCTAACCAACACAGAGTAGAAGAGATTCATGTAATTTAACATGTCATTCAGATGCACCAAGATAGTCATTTGAACTGTGCCACTGAAGACAAGCAAATTAGCTCATTTAATAAAACCGGTACGACGGATAATTGTGCATATGCAGAGCCTGCATGTTGCATGAGTCTGTCCCAAACACACGCTTGAAGCCTTCGAGGTCTCTTGCCCTCTACGTCCACAAGTTAAAGGTGTCACCTACATGTGGCCTTGGAGGTGGACAACAGGGTTTAGGGTGCCATTTGGGACAGGGCTCATGTCTTTTACATTAGGCCCTGTCATACAAAGCATCTCTGTGCATGTTTCACACCACTGGCACTTGTTGGCCCTTGTAGGCCCTTGTACAACTGTTTGGCCGATTGGGCACGCTGAATCAGTGTTGCCGTCTGTCCATGATTGGTGCTAGTTCTTCGACATCAGCTTGGTGTGTCAAGGCTGCAAGTTCTAGGTTAGACCAAGCGTGTAACTTTGTCAAGTGGATGTTGATACCAGACTCTCTTACAAGCCCCACAGGTATGTGATTTCTTCAGCGAGTAACAAAAATCCGCAGATTTTTGATGGCATCTTGATGGCAAAATATTAATTTTTAGGACCGAAAGGAAACTTTCAGTTGAATGGAAGGATCACATTCCTGAATGAACTGCACTCTCTGAAAATTCTGAAAATCTCAGAGAAATCAGATAGAGCAGCCAATAATTAACTGAAAGGCAATCAAAGCTGATGCTGTTCCAAGTACAGCATCAAGGCCAGCTCCAAGACTCCGATTCCAACTCTGAACATACGTTTCAAATTCAGAATTGGCTCGTTTAAGCTTTATAAAGAACTTAGGGCATATACTATACTAATATGCATATATTCTTCTTTTATTTTGTAGGTAGTACAATGAACACAGTGTCCAGCATTTATATCCAAGTGTCCAGTGTATTATGTTCCAGGGCTGAAGACTCCTAAGTACATTAAACTGGCTAACTCACCATGTTTGAATTCCAGTGATGTCAAAGAATATGGGGGCCAGGAGTGCACAAGAGCACAACTAGTTACGTTCTCCCTGCGTGTGAAGGATGGCTTCATTCCTTTCTCGTGGATACGGTGAGACTAGCCAGTCAAGGATATCTGTTGGGGCTAACATACTGAACAAAGCACTTTTGTTGCCCTTCAGACGCACATGACGCCATGGGAGCAGCAGCCCTAAAATACTCGATAAGAAAAAGGTGTCCCAGAGGAAACATATTAGCCCCCTGGTACTTCTTAGTTCACAGAAACTTCACATCAACTGTAGAGAAAAGTTGATACGCTGTTTACCTAAACAAAAGTTTACTACAGCGTTCATATAATACATGTGATCACAGTAAACTACAGAAATGGTTGGAGACAATACGGCTTCTACTGGTTCACTATACCATAAATAAAGAAACCGCTTGTCTTACAGACTGTCCATCGAATGACGGCAGTGCTATAATGGGAAACGGGCAAAGTGAGAGGAAACAACAGAAGGCACAATGGTTGGACTGGTCAATTTATCAAATACTAATCAATTGATTATATAAACAAACTTTAGTTGCAGCTTTATCTATAAACATTAATAAATGTTATTTTGTTTTTGGCACAATACAACCAGCAGCCGAGAGATGATTAAAGCTGTTTTAACATAGTTTGTAGAATTACTTACCCTTAGCAGCCTGCGCCTCTTCCTTCTTTGTAGAGTTATGGCCAAAAAGTGCAGAAAAACAGATATAGGTGAGTAAACTGGTAACAAATCATATCAGACTTTAAACCTGCCATCAGTCTCTTTCAAACACAAAAATAAAGAGGTTAAACCCAACACTTACATTAATGTCCTTTTTACGCAAGAGAATGGGAAGGACAATGTGTTTTTTTGAGTGGAATTAACTTTTTTGCCATTTAAAACAAAAACAAATATTTGTCGAAACAGATTCCATAAGAAATCAACGTTTAGGATCCATCTTGCATTTTTGTAAGGAAACAAAAAACCCTTTGAAACTCCACTTGGGTTGAGAGAACACAGTGTAGTGAGCGGAAAAGATCAGTAATAAGTTCAGACATAACTTCAAATACAATCATAAAGCCAGAACCATGATTCCTCGTTCCAGATATATACAGACAAGTGAGAAAGTGACTGTGTGGTGCAAAAGAACTTGGAGAGCGATGCAAGTATGTGCAATTCGTGAGGTGAGACCAGAAATAAAGTTTCAGAAACAGAAAGGTCATTCCTTGTGTCCAAGCGCACCTCCTGCTGTCAGAAAGTGCAGGAAATTAACTGAACCCGTTACACAAACCAAACAGACAGTTTGGAACAAGTTATGAAGGTCACCCACACAAACCAATTAACAATAAGCAATGAATTTGGTAAATGTGAGCCTATGTTGAATCACATTTATGTCACACAGCAGTGACATCTTTAATGCTGAGATCCTCGCTGGACGAACCACATTAATGTGTTTGGCAGAATTACATTTTCTTGCAAGGATGGAGTCTGGAGTCATAAAACTGTTATCCACCGGGTTTATCCAAAGTCACTTTTTCAATGTAAGGTCCCCAGACTCCTTAAAAGGGATTCATGTGGATCCATGAGGGAAAAAAAATGCAAACCCGGTCAAAAAACTGATATGGGGTCGAAAGGCATATACTTGGTAGTGCCTGGAAGAAACTATACTCCAGTCCTCACTCAACACATCAGGAGTGAGAAGGAATGACAAAGCTAACTTTAAAGTTGGCAACTCCTCAGACTCCAAAGAAGAAGCAGGAGGAACTAAAGCATACAGCTTGGATAATATCCAAAATAGACGTATGTGCAATCTTCCAGCAGAGAAGGCAATGGCAAACTAACCATTGTTTTCATATGAGAAGAACGAATGAAGTCTCCAGCGGCATACACAGCACTGCAGGCCACTGGAACACTGTTGAAGAGGCAGGTCTGGAGACTTCAAATACTGCGAATGGATTGGAGAAGTACAGTTCAGTACTTCTCTTAAAAACATTTTAAGATGAACATTGCACTCATGATGGGTAGAAGACTTTTCCAGATGTCAAATATTAGGCCTCTAAAAATCTGGACAATCCAAGTGGACAGGGAGATAAGGATCACACTGCATATAAGGTTTTGGTTAAAATGCATCACATCACAATAATTGACAAAACAGCCTAACACTCAACAATGGAATTATTCATTTATTTAGATATATTCAAATTTCACAGTGAAGATTAACTTACTTTGTTAATATTTGCAATGAATTGTAAGTGTCATTAACAAACATATGTATGTTAAAAGGGTTCAGTTTATTCAACTACACTGGTTACTCTGAAAGCGTATGAATCCACAAATATACTTACTTTCAAATGCTGTAAAGTAGTTAGATGGACCTTATATTGAGTTTCACCGTTTAGTCTTCTGTTACAAATCTGAAAAGTAAAATGATAGTAAGGAAAAAGGACACAATCGAAGCATATATTAAGTCCACACAGCAGCCACCTTACTTTGTTATCCATCCTGTCTGAATCATACAGCACTGCTCAAGCTTATACTGAATCGGGCGAGTAAAGCCATTCAGCTGGTAGTTCTGAGTACGAAAATCTTAAGATGTTCTACCAGCCACTGCTTCAGCTGAATATTTAAAATGTTTACCGTGCAGTCGAAGAAGACGTTCGACTGGTCGTCGTCGTAAACAGTCAGTAGTAAGTCAGCCATTGCCTACCGGCTAATGAATTATTAGCAAGTTGCTAGAAGAAACCTAGGTTAAATATGGAGTAAAATGATTAACGTTAGCTACAGCTCGCCAGGTTACCCTTACATCTGAACACAGAAGAAAGGAAAATGTGGTTACATAAATAAATTAGTTTTGACCTAGCTTGACTAGGTTTCGTTAGTTAGCTAACTTAGCTAACATTTGAATAACAACGCTAACCATGTCAGGAACATTTGTTGCTAGCGAGCTTAGCTACCTAGCCACTTAGCAAGTTTCCCTGATAAATAGCCCATCTAGCTAGCTAAATCTCCACGGACTGTTAGGCAGTGTGGTTATAAATTGACTCGAGTTTGCATCTGGCTACACTACCCCTCAGTTTTTGACTAAAAAAGTATTACTTTACTAATGCGCTTAAGCTCTCCAGAACCGGTTTATGAGGAGCCTGGCCACTTCCTATTCCCCCGTTACATCAAAAACAAACCTGCTAAACGGCAGAACGCACCCGCGAGCGAGTCCTCAGTGAATGGGAGTGAATGGCGCTCAACGGCTAAAAACGAAAAGTTAAAATAGTTTCTCATCACTCGCCCAGAACCTTTCTTTAATTTTAGAAAATAGAAGGATGTATTTCACTAAAAACACAAAGAAATCGTACCTATATATTTCCTTTTTTCTACAGCAAACGGGTTTTTAGGCAGTAGAAGGCGGGCTTTACTGCTAGAGCGTGATGATTGATTGGCGAGCGGAGCAGCTCATTGACTGTTCGCGCTCACTGACGTCATGAACATACACGAGGCGCCGTTTTAAACACCTATAGCTCGAGTTTAGAAGCTCTTAAAAATATAACAGCAGTGTTAAAATGTTTTATGCTATTCTGTGTTCAGGAATGATTGTATTCTTTTACATTAAATATGTTTAAGCATTTATAAACTATGATTTTGCTCAAATGCTCCGTATCAACCTATTCCTTTTGGACTCGCTCGGGAGCGCCCTCTAGCGTCTGAGAAACCCGGAAGACATTGCAGAGTGGTAAATCTCCTCTCTAGAAGTTCTCTGGCTCTTCTTCCTTCCTTTCTTCCTTCGCCTTTGGTTTCCTCCGCTGCTAATGCCACTCAGTGGCCGATAGCAGATACCGCCACCAAGCGTTCGCCGTCTAAACTGTACCACTGAGAGAGGAGGATGGATTTACACAATGTACCAACCAACATTAAGCCATATTAAAAAATAACTCGTTATGGTACACTAACCATTTATCTGTTTCAAAACAAATTGCTGAAACTGAGTATTAATAACAGTCTCAATTTCCAGACAATGTTAAAAATACCATGTAAACATTGCTACAGTTTCAGTGTTTCTTTGTAACATTTTTACAAAATGTACAATTAATTCACTAGTCCATACTGTCCATCTATTAAAACAAATCTGTCGCAAACATACACACATTTACATGTAACTGCCCATTTGGCCTATAGCAGTTTAGCCCTGCCCATTCCATTGAAGTAATAAGGAGTGTTGTTACTGCAGACAGTCTGTATCAGTGTGCATGATGTGCAGAAAACAATTTGATGTTATGTTAAGGCTAGCTGTTGGGAAGCAAAAAAAGGCAGACATCCAAAACGAGTTGCTGAACTTTATTTTATCTGATGTTTATCGGTATTCAGTCCGAACTTCATCATACATTTCAGCCCTGAGTTCTTTTTGAGGGAGGTGCAGTGCAGGGCAGTTAATCAGAAAGGAGGTCATTTACCTATATTAGTCTTAAATTCACAGTAACAAAACAGCTTTTTGTTTTGATTCTAAAGGATTAAATGGGAATTCCACTGAATTTCTAAATATTTGCATAATCATATAGTTAAGATGGGTGGTTTGATGTAAATTCTTCAGAAACAAATGAATCAGAATCATTCACATTAGTGGTGATAGGAACCACATGTCTGCCTATAAGAAATCCCTCACATAAAGTTATCACATGAAATAGTTATGGATACACTGCCTGTTGCCTGAGACATTGTTTTATAATTATGTTATAGACATCGAGACCCCTGATTTCCCTCAGGGAGTGACTACATGAGCTTTTTCAGCAAAACAAATAGTGATAGTAACATGATGCGGTATCTTCCTGGATCGGCACCTTGTCACGGCGGAAGAGCTTGTGTGGTCTAGAAATTTTCAGAGCTAAGTTGTCTGGAGCAATATGCTCCTGGTAGGGTCTACCAGGGCAAACAGGTGTGGAGTGAAGACCCAGACTAACATGATCCAAAATCCCCTATGAACAATGGACACAATATATCATGTACCCTGCCCGGGACATGGTTAATGGGACCTACCCCTCGACCCAGGCCCAGAGGTAGTGTTCCTTGGCAAACGGCTGGTGGCTGGGCAACCCAGTCTAAATCCAATCTAAATTTGTAATTGGACTTCTGTGCTAGTCATGGATTGTCTATAACGAACACCAAATTCGAAAACAAGGATGTTCATAAGTGTACTTGGTACAAGACCTCTTTGGGTCAAAGGTCAACGATCAGCTTTGTTGTTGTTTCATCTAACTTGGGCACATAGGTTCTAGACACTTAGGTAAAGATAAGTGCTGAGCTTTGAACCGATCACCATCTGTTGGTGAGTTGGATCAGATGGCGTGGAAGACTGGTTCTAAGACCTGGCAGACCCAAGTAAGGGTTTGCTGGGAACAATTGGCAGAGGCCCCTGTCCAGAATGATTTTAACTTCCACCTCTGTGAGAACTTTTTTCATGTGCTGGAGGAGGTAGGAGACATGGAGTCCGAATGGACCCTGTTCAAAACCTCTATTGTGGAAGCTGCTAGGTGTAGCTGTGGCCAGAAGGTTGTTGGTGCTTGTCAGTGTGGCAACCCAAGAACCCATTAGTCGACACTAGTGGTGAGGGAGGCAGTCAAGCTGAAGAAGGAGACCTTTTGGGACTGGTTTGCCCTCAGCAGATAGGTACTGATGGACCAACTCAGCAGACAGGTACTGATGGACCAACTCAGCAGACAGGTACTGACGGACCAACACAGCAGACAGGTACTGACGGACCAACAAAGCAGACAGGTACTGACGGGCAAAAAATACGCCTCTGCAATGTGGCATGGACCTTGGGAACAGTACCCTTTGTCTGGCAGACTGAGGTGGTGGTCCCTGTTTTTAAGAAATGGGACTAAAGTGTGTATGCCAATTACTGAAAGTGGCTCAGGATCCCACAGAATGAGCTGGAGGAAGTTGCGGGGGACAGGGTCGTGTGGGCTTCTCTGTCTTCCATATAGCAACCATGACCCTAGCTGGATCAAGCAGGTTAAGAAGATGAAGATGAAATGATGCAGTGTGATTCTACCTGTTGTCTTCTTTCACAGATGGTATGAGCAACTAAACTGGTTCTCTGTGGTTTTGAGTTGGATATGCATTGAATGCAGATACTATAGTGAAATTAATGAGAGCTGAAACTCATCTGTCTCTTTCAAACTGCTAAATTACCCTATCATACAGCAAGGCAACAGAATGACAATTATTACAGACGGGTAACTAATCCTCTTGTGGAAGCGAGCAATTGTAGCAGGAAAATGTGTGGCACAGTTAACCCACCAGGGGTCAGTTTAATTCTAACAAAAAAAAACAAAAAAAACAAAACATAATGGAATTTACAGAAAGCAAATTTTGTAATGGGAAAAGGACACTGATATTGTTATTATCAGATCTAATTCCACAGCTCAAACACCATCATTACTCTCAGTCACATCTGTGCTTCTAGTTCTCACAATATTTGAAAATGTTGTGTGTTACTCGTGATTAAAGATAGATTAAATACAGTAGTCGAGGCTTTATTATGGAAAAGATAGATTGGATTAATAGGTATATTCAAATAGTAGAAAATTCAGAGTTTGTATTAAAAAGCAAAATTTTTTGAACAAAATGTTTCTTAATTTTACGAAACTGATGAATTAGATGTAGAAAGTATTTTATATTTTGAAGCTGAAAGAAAAGTGTGAATAAAATGAATTAATTCATGATTCAGAATCACCTTTGGCAGGAAATGGTTGGCATTCAGATAACTTGTAATCTTAAGTAGTTTCTCAGGGCTACAATCAGTAAGCAAATATTTTGTGATAATATGCTACATGTTTACATGTTCAGCATCTACAAGTCATAAGTCTAAGTACATACATTCTAAAACTGATAACAAAAGATATATATTGGCATTATCACTACCATATAACGAGTGTGTCAGGAATGCCAAAATGTGTTTTACTTTTCAGTTCTGGGTGATAAACACTGGTATGTGTTTATGTTTTCTATGCTTCACTAAACAGCTGATTGACACTACAGTGGTTAATGTAAGTGAGTTCAATCAGGCGCATTAAAAGAGAGAAAACACTGAACTGTCACTTTACTTCACCAAGTATGTTACAAGTACAAGGAATTTTATTGGTGAGTGCACAGATGTGTAACATGTAACACACTGAACAGTCCAGACAAACATACAGACTGATAACAAATATTTAACTAAGGGACAAATAAAAACAAAATAAATAGAATAAAGATTGACAAGTACTGATGTAGTTCTTACAAATACGAGGACTGTTAACGATTCAGTTTGTGCTTTCCTGAACTACAGTAAAATCCATTTCAGCAGTATCTCCTTATACATCCAATGCTCTGCTTATACGGTAACATTTCTTGAAATCTTCATATGTTCAAGACAGACTACGGATCAGTGTCATTCATCATTTTTTAAATGTAGATTTACTCCATAACAGTAAAAATAAAAGTGCCTACATAACATTCTTCCTCAATCCAGTTTATGAAGTCTTAGAAACAGACTCCTCCTATTTCTATATGTAGATACAGATAGAAAGATCACTGAATTAAAGATCACTCTTACAGCCTTCACCTAATCTTGACCCCGTTTCCAGACCTAAACCAGCGGTAAGTAGTGGCTGATTGGATTATAGATCTGTTACCTATGAAAAGCTCTTTTAGCTTTTAGTCTACAATTTCTTGACATCAGAAATTCCATTTGAACTGTTATTAATCCTAGAAAAGAAATTAAATTTAACACGTAAGAATTCAATTCTGACTTTTGCTGGTAGAGATTACATTTTAGTATGAAATAATTCAAATCTCACAAAAAAAACTTACAGCCTTTGCTAATTCATTTTTTATGGGAGAAACATTTTACTAGTATGAATTAAATGTTAAAATCTTGTATAATAAAATATATTTTCTACCACTAAATGTTTAATTATTACACGTTACATTTTTTACTAGTTCTAATAACATTGTCCACACTGAATTTCTGATCATCACAGATGCGTATTTTCTGGCTTGCCAGATTTACCTCTATCTTTACCTGTAGAGACCGCTGAGAGGAAGGGAGGGAGTGGGAAGGGGGCTTTTGAAATCTGCTCACGCCCCCTGCTGTCTTCCCTGACTTTCCTTTTCGATTAGCCTACAGTCGGAAGGGCCGCCGGCCGGTGCTATTAATTTGTATTATCCAAGATGGAGGATTGCTCGTGGTCCCTAGCCTAGCAGAACAGCGGTCTTTTCCGTCCGTGTCACATCCTTCTTGAAGCAAAAGGGGCGGACATATTCCACACACCGTCTGAGCTGGAACAACCAAACTTTCACATTTGGATATCTGCTTCGCGGTTTCCACAGACATGAGCTCGGGGGAAGGAGCCGAGGAGACGGCTAAGGACGCGGCCGACATAGCGGCGTTCTTCAAATCTGGTAAAGCCCAAAAACTAGTGCGGGTGGACCGTGATTGAAATCGCTTGCTGGGTGGCTAGTTGGGGAGCAGTGATATAAGACAGGGCAGTTATGCATCCGAATGATTTGCACTGATCTGTAGTTGGAAAAGTCCTCTCATCGAACGGACATAAACAAGTTCACTGCTTTATTTTTACAGAAATATATTCTCATATCAGCACTCTATGGGGTCTGTGGGTCAAAACATGCTAGCTAGCTGTTTAAAAGTGAGATATGTCCTGTTTGATTATCTTGCTAGCTGGCGTGTACAAAAGACTGGTATAGTGCTGTGCCTTTAGCTTTGCCTTTATTTGCTTTCAAATGATGCAAGTCGATTGTTTCTTGATCTGCGGGCTCTGTTTTAGACTAACTAGTCCATGTCCCCCCGAGAAATACAGGCAAGTTAGCTATCTAGTTAGCTTGGATACCTCAGCTAGCAGTGACCAGCTGGGCAACTTCTTGACCAGCAGCTAACAGTTAGCACTTGTACCATTAGCCTTCTAGTAGGGTGTGTATGTGGGCGACCCTTTAGATAATCAAGTCAGTTTGTGTTTGTACGTTTTCACACTTGGTATTTAGAATTACTAGTAACATCAGCCGAAATGATGTTGTTGGCCATCAGTGCACTCTAGCTGTCCTACTAACCCAACTAGCCTGCACGAGAAACAGTCATGATCCGTTTTACTTCATCCCAGTCGTTAAACATCATTTGGGCACTAAGAGGCCAGACTGTCTATAAACGAATCTGTTTAGTTCTTTAGGCTGCCATAAAATTCATGCAGTTGGCTAAATCGTTTTTAAGGATGTACAAGACAGCCAGCAGACAAGATTAAGCATCTGTGCAGCTAAGCTAGCAGTGTAAACAATGACCTGGCGTGGCATTCTCCAGAGGAATCGTTCGCTAGCGAGCTGCTAATTCTTAGCTGTGTGGCTAGTGACCTGGATCACTCATTTGAATACTAATAGAGAATTGTTTTGGCGACGTGTCATTTGACAGTTGCACGGCATTTGTTAATAGCCGAGAGATGCGTTTTCTCGGTACCTTAAACGGTTTGGCAAGCCACATATTATTTGACCCACATTTGTCTAAATCGGTGCTATTCGCTTGAATCTATTTCGTTATACACAGAAAGGGCCTATAGGTATCGTCTGAATTAGGTGTTTTTAAAGCCCACGTAGTTTTGGTTAGGAGATCTTATTTATTGATAGTTAGTAATGTTGTATGATGCATTAAATTGACACTGTAGATTCTTTGCAAAGTAGGTTCTGGTTCAGAGGAACGTTCTTGGTCATTGTCGGTGCTCTACAGATTTGATGTAGGTTTAAAAGCGTATTTCTCCCCTTTGCCCCTGTAGAAGGAGTAAGATACTCTGTGAAGCTACACAGTCGTGTTGTTGACTTTAAAATATTATCCAAAATCTAGTCTCAGTGCTCTACTGAGGAAACCAAAAACCCCTCTCAAACACAGATTTTGCACTATGGCACAAAGTGTAACCACATGAGGAAGTACTGTAGCCTCAACTGCTTCCACACCGGAAGCCTTGTGATGTTTCGGTTCTTTTAAGTGTTTGAATTGGAATTGAAATGTAATGGCTTTTAAAGTCTAGTATTATTATCACTGTTGAAAAAGACAAGCAAATGTAATTTCACATAAATGGAAGTAGGACAAGCTTGATCTATATTGTCCAGTGCTGTTGAACACCATGCTCTGGTTTATGTCAGCGCATACAGCTGCAGTAGCTTTTTAGACAGATTATGTAAACCACAGGCCAGTTTTTGGTATGATGTTTTATGACCTCTATAAGGATCATATGTTGCTTCACTCAGTGAGATTTAGCTCATGTCTTTGTACTCAAGGGCCAGATAATGCCTTATATGGCCTCAGAGGTTCAGGCATTGTCATGCGTTACACAAGCTTAAATATAAGCATACTGTCTGAATTTGGTCTTAGTACTGCCTTTTTCTTTTTTTTTTTAACGGCAGTACTTGAATTTGCTCACTAGCAGCTACAAGTAATCCTTGTTGGCCCCCTATGTACCTGCATGGCTCTTGTGGTCTGGTGTATAAACTGTGGTATTGGCTTGGCTCTGGTTCTTTCTGCTTGCAAAGCTCTTGCTTTGAAAGAGTTAAAGTCCATGCTTACTTGCTGTGGTTTGTAGAGGTTAATTTGCCAAACTCCAGAGTTAGGAGCAGTGTGGGGTTTTGTGATGTGGTGATGTGGCTTGGATTCCAGTGAAATTGAGAGAATTTCTAAATGTAAAATTTAAAGCTGTGTGGGTGGAGTACAGCACAGCAGTATGGAATCCCAGAAGCTGCAAGACTATGAATTACACAGTATGAGTATGTAGACACCTGTGACTAACCCTTGACTGTGTCATTGTTTTTAAGTTTGACATACCAAACCTATACACTCTGTTTTCCCCAAAGACTTATAGCCACATGCTCTGCCCTAATACAGATCTGGTGATGCTGATGAACCCCAGTATTGTACTAGAGCACTCTTTTGCAATACCTTATCACACGCTTTTCTGTCTGTGTAGTAAGGAGGGTTCTTTTCAGACTTAATTTCCACTTTTATTCTGAAGACCTCTGCTGTACTGCCTTTGAATCTATATTTTGAAAAATACAGTTACATTTGGGTGTTTAGGTGGTGAAAAGTGCCATGTGAAAATCTTGCATCCACCAGAGGTACCACATAGTATCTTAAACAAGATTTTCGAGTTTAAAGACTAGGAAAATTCCTTTCTGGTGATGCATCTTGATGGTGAGGGCATCTTTTGAAAAGCATGCAGAACCTTTTTGATTTCAGCTGTGTAACTGTAGTAACAATCACCAATTCATGATTACAGTGTTGGGATGGATTATTCAAACGACAGAAATGACTCATCAGATGAAGAAGATGACAAACTTCAATCTAAAATTAGCAAGGTTATCCTGGGTATCTAGATACATTGTCAGTTTGGCTCCTTTACTCTGGTTGAAAGGGCAAAAACATGTCTCTGCATCCTTTTTGTTGTAAATAAAGATAGAATAATTATTTTCTTTATGATTTTGTTGAACTACTGAGGTAAGAGTTCACCACTAGGGATATCCACTTTGGTTCTATTTATTATTAGCCTATAGATCAGTGACTAGGCAAGTAGTCATGATTGCTTGACACCACAGGGATTTCTTATGGTTGTATGATGCATTTGCGTAATGTGTGCTGGGTATTGTTGTAAGTGAACATTGATGAACAGAAACATGAAAAATGTGAATACTGTCAAGCTAATGAGGCTGAAGGACAAAATAGTGCACTACAGACCACTGAATAACATGGCAAATGTTGGGGGGAAAAAAGGGTTTAAAGCTAGAATACTGATTGTTGTCTGTTAAGATGTTTCATCTGAGTATGTATGGCAAACTGCAAATAAAAATGTACTAATTTCACATTGGATTATGGCATTTGCCAGGTTTTACAAAGCTTACAAATGGGGAATTAAGGATTAATTACGAGTTCTTTGGGTCTTTTAAAACGACTAATCCAGATATTTGGTGCAGAAAATTTGTGCTTGATTGCATTATAAGCCCAGTGAAAGCTTTGTTGCTTGCTAAGTTTGTGGACAAGGAAAGGGGGGTTGAATCTTATTTTTCTGTGTCAGTTTTGTTGGTTTGTTTATTATGTTCAAAATGAACCTTGTTGAGGCCTTCTATGTTTTATCTGTTTTATGTGCGTAATCTCTATTTTATTATAGCAGTACTGGATAAATTTTAGCACTTGTGGTTAACACTGGTGGGCTTAGCGCTGCATCTCTGCTTGTGACTGTGCCACCTGGAGAGTCAGTGGGTGCAGCTAAAGCCTCTCTGCTTTGCATTCTCTCCTTCTGTGTTTCTGTTTTGTCTCACTGTCTCCTAGTTTATCGCTTCTCTCTTTAACCACCTTTTTGCTTCCTTACTCTCTCGTCTGTGTCTCTCACTCTTTCAGACAGTCTTTCAGTCTCCCTGTGTGGTGGGGAAAGGTCATGCTGACCTAGATTTGCTGGGTCTGTGATGGTGCACTCAATGGCCCCTCTGCCTCAGTCTTCTGGCACACAGCGAGCAGATCCTTATTATTCAACCACACAGGCAGGGACAGCGATAGGCAGTAGGGAGGAAAGTAGGACTGCATATTGTATAGTTTCTTAATCGTTATTGTGATGTCAACCTTTGCAGTACTGATATTGCAGAAGGTTGCAAAATGCAAGTGAGCCCTCTGACCACTTACAATGGATTTTTACTGTGTGCTGTAGGCATTTTGACCAATCACAGTTCCAGACCAGTGTTTCTATGAAGGTTTTATAAATCCAAGTATGCATATAATGTGATGATACCACAGCCATCTGTGACCTCACTTTCTCTGGTTGGGTCGTATAGCTTACCCTCTTTCTGTTACTCAGTGGTAGCCAACTGGGCGTCCGTTAGCTCAATGGGCAGTTAGCATTCTGAGCTGTCCGATGACATTGCGTAAGTGGCAGTTTAAATGGGTGTAGTGGATGAATTCACATACGTGATTTAGAGGAAGCACTAGCCTTTGCCTTCCCATTTTGGCAGTGTTGTGTCATGGGGGAGACCCTCACTGGGTTTATATTGGACATGACCACATTGGGGGGGAAAATTAGATGAAAAATAGAAACTAAATTATTTTAGTCAAAATAAAGCAGGCCAATTTTGCACTGTTACATTATTGTTTCACTAGTGCATTTTTTGAATACATTTAATTTAAGTCTATTGCAAGCACAGCAGCATAAAGCAGTATGATCAAAATAAAGTATTGTATGCATGTTGTGCATCACTAGAAGAAAGAGAAGACATCCGGGTAGCTTTTGTTTAGTGTACAGTTTTGTATCGTAGAAGCTTAATGCATGGATCATGTACTGTGTTGCTAAAAGGAATTATGGAGACTAAGTGAGGGCTCTGGAGGGAGAGTACAATTGAAAGAGACAGTGAAGGAGATCTCTACAGTG